TCGATTTATCGTGTTACGCGCGTAATCGCATTGGGCGAGATGCACACCTTTTTTCCCCTCTAGCTCGATTTGGCGAGATGCATACCTTTTTCCCCTGTAGCTCGATTTATCGTGTTACGCACGTAACACGATTGGGCGAGATGCATACCTTTTTTCCCCTGTAGCTCGATTTATCGTGTTACGCGCGTAATACGATTGGGCGAGATGCACACCTTTTTTCCTCTCTAGCTCGATTTGGCGAGATGCATACCTTTTTCCCCTGTAGCTCGATTTATCGTGTTACGCACGTAACACGATTGGGCGAGATGCATACCTTTTTCCCCTGTAGCTCGATTTATCGAGTTACGCGCGTAACACGATTGGGCGAGATGCACACCTTTTTTCCCCTGTAGCTCGATTTATCGAGTTACGCACGTAACACGATTAAGCGAGATGCACACCTTTTTTCCCCTGTAGCTCGATTTATCGAGTTACGCGCGTAACACGATTGGGCGAGATGCATACCTTTTTCCCCTGTAGCTCGATTTATCGAGTTACGCGCGTAACACGATTGGGCGAGATGCACACATTTTTCCCCTCTAGCTCGATTTGGCGAGATGCATACCTTTTTCCTCTGTAGCTCGATTTATCGAGTTACGCGCGTAACACGATTAAGCGAGATGCACACCTTTTTTCCCCTGTAGCTCGATTTATCGTGTTACGCACGTAACACGATTGGGCGAGATGCATACCTTTTTCCTCTGTAGCTCGATTTATCGAGTTACGCGCGTATTACGATTGGGCGAGATGCATACCTTTTTCCCCTGTAGCTCGATTTATCGAGTTACGCACGTAACACGATTGGGCGAGATGCATACCTTTTTCCCCTGTAGCTCGATTTATCGTGTTACGCACGTAACACGATTGGGCGAGATGCACACCTTTTTCCCCTGTAGCTCGATTTATCGTGTTACGCACGTAACACGATTGAGCGAGATGCACACATTTTTCCACTGTAGCTCGATTTATCGAGTTACGCACGTAACACGATTAGGCGAGCTGCACACCTTTTTTCAGCGGTAACACGATTGGGCGAGATGCACACCTTTTTCCCCTCTAGCTCGATTTATCGTGTTACGCACGTAACACGATTGGGCGAGATGCACACCTTTTTCCCCTGTAGCTCGATTTATCGTGTTACGCACGTAACACGATTGAGCGAGATGCACACATTTTTCCACTGTAGCTCGATTTATCGAGTTACGCACGTAACACGATTAGGCGAGATGCACAACTTTTTTCCACTGTAGCTCGATTTATCGTGTTACGCACGTAACACGATTAAGCGAGATGCACACCTTTTCTCCACTGTAGCTCGATTTATCGTGTTACGCACGTAACACGATTAAGCGAGATGCACACCTTTTTTCCACTGTAGCTCGATTTATCGTGTTACGCACGTAACACGATTAAGCGAGATGCACACCTTTTTTCCACTGTAGCTCGATTTATCGTGTTACGCACGTAACACG